TAAACTAATGTTATTTAGATAGGGAATAAATATGTTATTTTTAAGAGATATTTGAGTGAAAATTAAATCAGGCAAATGGAAATTCGCCTAGTCTGAAGGTTCACTGCGGCAGCAGTATTGTTTTCAACTTAGTTTTTTTTGTTGAAACCTTATTGTGGAATAAAGGTTATTAACCGTTAATTACATTTCTGCAAAAAGCAGTTGTCTTTATACCATCATAAAATCTATGCATTTAATAAATTTGAAAGCTGACAACAGCTCAGGAGTAGCCTAGAAGTCATTAGCAAATATAAACACCCTAGATCTTGCTCACTCCTTGCATTCAATGTTTAATTCCTAGCTTGTATCTAGTAATTTTGTATGGTATGAATTTGTGATTATTTGTTATGACTAGCCTGTTTTAAGATATTTTTGGATCTTTGAAACGTTGTTAGTAGAATTTAAATTTTAACTCAATTTATTATACAATTAACGCATAAATAATGGCTACATTATTTACGTATTTAGTTGAGAAATACATAAAAAATACTAAATACAGGAATATAATGAAATATAATAAAGTCAAGTCACTGCCACAAGAGCCAGAAACAAATTAAAGCTAAGAATTAGTTTAAAGATAATTTTTTTTATTCCTACTCAAATGAAGCTTTTAGTAGCTAATTATGAACAAGGTCTTCTAACTAGGTGTGTTGGGTAATATCACTCTAATTTCATCAATCAGTTACTAATTTAATTGTGTATTTTAAGTGGGAAGCTAATTATTTTTATCTTAATGATAATTAGCTATGTCCCTATAAATGTTCTGTAAAGTCTCAATATACTGACCGCCCTTCTTACAGAAACACCGTCCAACCAAACTCTGTATCCATCTATCTCTATTCAGTCTGCTTAATAAGGTAAGGTTAACTAGCTTGTGATTGTTTACATAAAAATAAATAAATAAATTTATTTATCATATAAATTATTAATTGCTGTTAATTAGGTATGTTTCCATTTTCTTTTTGACTGTGTAATTCCTAAGTCATTTTGCATCAAATTAAACAAGTATTTTTATCTTATAACAGTGGATGGTTCTTAGACCACAGTCTCTTTGAATGTTCATTTATGATAGAAAGATTGTAATAGAATCAATCATACAGAAAGATTAAGTATTTACCCATTTTCACAGACATTTCAAACAAAGTATCACCTTACTTTGTAGGTACATTTTTAGGCCCTCATAGTTTTTTGAAATGTTTATTTAGTAGCCACTATATTTATGTATTTTCCAAATATAGTTTCTTTAGGCAAATCACCTCAAATAACACGGTACAAAATTAGACCTAAACCTCAGATTCCAAAGTGAAAGCTAACTTCTGACTCTTGAAAGATTTTTAATTTGTTTGTTGGGTTTGTGGTATTGTATTTAGCTAATAAAGACCATTAATTTGATTTATGGTTATCATAATTACTTCTAGCAGGCGCCCCAAATTGCAAAATCGAGAAATCGTTCATTTTGGCTGCAAATTTTGCTTTGGTTGTCCATTTGAGTTCGGGTTTACAGCATTGTATTTTAACAAAAATACCGTTAATTTGATGTGCATATCACCTATACTGTCCTTAAACCTTTATTGTGACTCCTAGTAGGCGTACCCCTGAGGAGGTAGCGTATATAGTGAATAGTGTTTTAAATTATCTTTATTATTTCTTTAAATATTTATTTATCCATCCAGAGAATTTTAATGCTGTTTCAAAAATGGCCATTTTTAATCGATTATAACTCTGTAAACTGTTCACTTTAACAAGACTAAAACAAGATTACCATCCTCATTTGAAATATATTGTAGATCATTTTTAGCGAATTTCCCATATATGGAATAAGCTATTACCATAGTACTCATGATAAGACCTGGACCCGTGACCGATTTACAATTTAGTTTTTCGTTTTGAGGTCCCTAGAGGCCATATATATATATATATATATATATATATAAAACCCCTCTCTCTAATATTTTTCTAAGTAATTTCTAATAATTTTCTAACAGAGATATCCTATTGGTGGTCGTGCAATCTTAGCAGGAAGTTTCATTTTATTATTTAAAAATTTTTAAGTTTCCCCCAAAAGGGGGGATTTTGGGGGCAACTCAAAAATTTTAAAGGTAAACCCCCATCAAGTGACACCTTATTTTGAAGTGTTTACAAAAACTTAAAGATTGGTGAAAACCAGAGATCGCTATCTCTTCTCTATCCAAAATGGTAGCCCGTACAAGGTTTAATGACGTTACTGTTACATTTATTTTATTGTGTAATAAAAAGTAATTTTCCTCCCTCTAATTTGTTCCTAAGTAAATATTACAGAGTAATCCTTTGGGTGGTCATACTGCCTTGTAAGGAAGTTTCATTTTATGATTTTGAAAATTTGGAGTGTCCCCCCAAAAGGGTGGATTTTGGGGGCAACTCAAAATACTTCAATGTAAACCCCCTTCAATTGACATCTCATTTTAAAGTGTTTACAAAAACTTAAAGATTGGTAAATACTTTAAAACTTTCTTATTAAATGGCGACCATAGAAGGTAGGTATTTTAAGCCAAGTATGAATGGAGATTAGTGTTAAAAACCAGAGTTTATTGCTATCTCTACTCTATCCAAAATGGTAGCCAATACTACCATTACAAACCAATATTACCATTATTTTCCATAACATTTGACGGGCTACAATTTGGATAGAGTTTATAGCAAACTTTGGTTTACTTAGAAAGATATTAAATGGGATGTCTTCACCCTGTATGTGTCCATTAGCACGATAACTCGAGCAAAAATTATCTGCTTTTGATAAAATTTTGTATAAACGTGTAAACCTACATTTATTTGAACTAGTTCTCGAACCAGCATGATCGGACTATGGGAACGGGGGTTTATGGGGTAAAAATTGGTTTTTCCCATTTTCTACCCAAATACAAAAAATTTAGCAATTTCTTTTCAAACTATTTTGTAGAGCTTAAGAAATCAAATACAGTAATTAAGTGTGTTGAAGCGTTGTTATGCACCTAATGGTTACGGAGAAAAGAAAAAAAATTGAATTTAAAATTTCCATGTTATTCTTATGGAGAATAAGTAAACTGTTGTAGTTTTCTTGTTTGTGAACATATTTTAAACAAATTTGGAAAAAGCATTTATTTCTTACTAAACTATTCACATTTTACAACAACAACAAAAAACACTTTTACCCTCCCTTTTGCAGCAAATCTTAGTCCCCGTTAAAGTAATGATATTTAAATAAGGAATTTTAATGTGATATTTTTAAGGAGACATTAGTGTAAATCAGGGAAATGGAAATTCTCTTAGTCTGCAGGTTTGCTGTGGCGGGGGCCAACGATGCCTCTCCACTGCTCTCTCTCTTGGGGTTGGTTCCCAATAGAGAACTGCTACGTCCCTCAGCACCTGGCTCTTATATCGAAGCCTTGATCTAGCCGAGTGGTTATACTGGTCTACAGCTACAGTTGTTTTAGTTATAGATTTATTTTATACTGCTACTTAACTTTTTGTTTTACATGTTGTTGCAGTTTAGAAGTGAAAGCCAATGGACGGACTTGTGCAAGTTGTAAGGTCCGGTAGCAAGAGTATTAGAGCTGTCTCCAACCTGGCCTCCACACTATCCCGGTTTGTTGTGTTTTGCCATAAGAATATTATTAAGTCTTGCAGTTGATTAAAATGGATCATAATAGGCCATATTAGAATAGGTAATGATAGCAAGTAAATTATACCCCCAAAATAGGGTATACTTTGAAAAATTTCCCCAGAGTTTTCAGTCGCCATAAGCCGCAGCTTGCCAAATATTAACAAATTAAAACATACTATACAATATAAGATGAAGTATACTATATGAATGACTAGTAGTATCTTTTTCAATGCTATTAGGTTCCCTTTCTTCTTTCTCATGATATAAAATAATGATACAAACACGGATTTCAAACTCCGTCTGCAAGCCCCTTCAGTAACCATGATACTAAAGTAGATGCACACATGTGTTGGAGAAAACGTGAAATACAAGACGGCGCGGCGCCACACGGCAGGGTTTACCAATCATAGTATAGCCATAGAATAAATAACCCCCACTCAAATAACTCGTACACCATAGAGATTTGGCCACACAGAGAAGTACCTTCCTTCTCTGAGTCGGATAGATAATACAGGGTTTACATTTAATACTAATATTTTATTATTTAACTACTTTACGCAATATCAAATGGTAATATGAAGAAGTATGTGTCTAAGGCGGTATCACCGTAAACATTACTAATAGCAAGTCTATGCAACACAAATATTGTACAGCCTGAAGCCGGTTTAATTCACAGTTTACGTTCAGGAACACTATCTTTCCTACTCACATACATAGGGCACATTTTCAAAGGGGGCTTGACCTTTTGGAAATAAAATCAGAGAACAGGAAACAATTTATAAATAAATAATTCATTTGTATTCAATAAATTCCATCGTAATAATATTCTAACAATAATATAATATACGTTTTTAAGGTAAATCACGATTATAAGAACAGAAACAGCAGGTATCATAAACATAAACATATTATATCACTGTCCCGAAGGTAAAATTGTTTTTATCAGGGCCTAATTTAAATGGAACTGTCAAACCAGCTGTTACGACTATTTGTATATGACATTCGAATCAGTGACGTCATTTGTTTACGTTTCTGATACATACAGTTGAAGTTGTAATATTCGTGGGTAAAATTACAAGACATTGTAAATCGTAAACATTAAACACCCACAATAAATACTGGACAGAGATGTTCCATATTATTTTCAGCTGATCTATAGCATTTAATCTGCAAATAAACAATACTAATAATGGTTTTAAAATCATTGCAATGTTAAAACTTAAATAACAATTTTGCTAAATGTCTGTCTTTTGATATATTTTGATTTTTAAATAATTTTTTGGACCGCATAAACATTCCTGATGTAGTCTGTGTAGGTTTGCATTGAAGATTGTTTATTTCTAAATATTTGGCGATTTTATTGAAGCTATACAGTATTTAATGTTAAACAAGCGGAACGGCCTTTCCCCGGATACCTGTGGACTGCTTCTATCAACGTAATTAAGTAAATATATAACTGTAGCAGTAAATAGTAACATTAGTGAAAGTACAGTAGGCCTACTGTATTCAAGTGTAAAATCAGAAAGCATTTAAATCGCATTCGTTGAATACATTTTTCATTTACATGTGTAGAAGTAGAGTCTGTTATATCGATCAACAAATGGTTATAAATAAAGCTTAGGTTCAAGCAAATCTTTACACATTGAGTGAATTAAACTTAGTATGCTACTGTTATATTACACAGTTCAAATTTCACTCGTACTATTTTTGAACACGAACTGTAGTTATGAGGTAAACTGGTGAATGATTCGGATGCTACTGAAAAATCGTTCTGAGGGAATCGTCCACAAAAAATATTGTCGTCAGTTTTGTGTTGTATTTATAACTATAATAGATGTATCAACTAAAATTATTCAAGACTTCTTAATTTTAAAATAACCTGATTTTTCTTTGAATCTATAGAATATTTTCTTCTGTATGGCTACGCCCTAGGTTCCTGTGAGTGGAAAGGTACCTAACAGTGTCAACACATTTGATTGGTTTTGTGTTTTTGGTGATCCGTTAAACCGACCACATCAGGTTGGATTGAGTAACTAACATTTTAAATTATGTACATTTTTATATACAAATAACCTGATGTGGCAGATATAAGATGAGTAACGTGTGTTTTAATGGGGGTTTATGTAAAGTTTGTTCTTAGGAATAACATCTGAAAAATAATTGAACTGATGATAATGCATTCTTTAGCCACAAATAGTTTTTTTTCTTAGTATTTCCTGCATATAAAAAGTATGGCTATTTGTAGAGGGAGTGATCTCCAAAACAGTCAGTTCCTCTTCAACTAAAAAACATATTTTTCTCTAGATGGTGGGTTCTTCAGCTTAAGATGGGATTCGAACCACCATTGTTAGGCCTACTTAGCTAGAGACTATTTGTGATTTGCGTGATTTGAACACCGGCCTTCTCGTATCTCTTTATAACAGCATCCTTTGCTAAAATCAATTTAAGTTTACAATTTTAAGTAATGCATGCACAACTCCTTATATTTTACTAAAGTATTCACATATTTTTCATTGAGTGAATCAAGCTTCTGTGACCTAATAATGTGAAGGTAGACGTGGTGAAATGCCAACTCAGACCAGTTTCATGTCACTTACTGCACGAATTATTGTTGAGCCCTCTCATTGCCTGAATGTATCTTCTACTCAATGACATTTTCACCCACTTAACAGACGGACAGACTTGCCACTGCGTTATAGCACGAGTTCCAAACTCAACATGTCTAGACTCAAATATAAACTAAAACAATCAAACTAAAAATAACAGACTTTTTCAAAATAATTTATAGGTTCCAAAATCAGTTGCTAAAGTTTTTTTTAATTATTTCTTATTTAGTTTGTTTAAAATCTTAAATTATCACCAATTATCATTAAAATTCGACATGACAACACAGATTTAAGAGTAGACCTACTCCTTAAATCTACAATGACACAAAAAAGTATATAACATAACACGATGTTTAAGGAGACAATAAAAACAGTTTACGAAAATATCCCATAGCATACAAGTACTCTGTAAACCTAATTCACTATTTATTTACATAACGACAATTTGCTAATCTCCAATTCACCTATCAAACTCAGATTAATAGCTAGATAGCTATAATTACAACACGTTAGACATCGTTCACGATCACACTATACACAATGTATGTATGTGTGGCGGTGGCGATCGTCATCGGGCAGTGTGCGGCGGGCCCTATGTCGCTGGATGCGCAAAGTGACAAAGTGGTGATTGTGCGCAGGTCGGCCGACACAAATAGCGATGGCGGCGTCGGCTCTACCACAGTCGCCGCGACCGTCAGTGCGAGACAAGTGAGTACGAGCAGCAAGAAGATGGAACGGGATCGTCTGGGACAGTGGACATACAGCGATGGCAGCAAGGGGACATTATCAACCAACCTCATCCGGGGCCTGGACCACATGAGGGACCCCAGGCTGAACAAGGTCAGGACATAACCTCAAAGTGCAACAATGCGATCAGCTGATTGATTTTACGTCAGAATGATACAGTGTTTCATATTCTTAAAAATATTTAATGCACTAATTATGCATTTTAGTTGTATTATTATTTACATAATTTAGAAAATTGCAACAGTGAAGTCAGCTGATTGATTTTATTTTACTATTTCAGCTGCAACTGAACAATCAGCTGATCGTGATTTAAGTATACAGTTTAACTATTTTAAGGACTTTCCATAAGTGTGGGACTGCATCATGCAAACGTAAAGTAGTTTCAATGCAAACTGCAACAATGAAATTTTGCATCTTTAGAGAACAGACGAGAAATACTCCTTTGTCCTTGGTTGGAGTTTCTTATAACATCGTCCGGCTGATCCAACAATGGAATCAGCATGTAACTTTATTTCAATGGAGTAGTTGGAGAATTCATTGTGGACTGCAACAATGCTCTCGAACAAGCAAATTACGTCTTTTGTTTTTGTATTTCTGAAATTCGTAACGGCAATATTTTATACTTTTTTAAATATAATTAAATTTGTAACTGAAATATTTTAACTAAAACAAATAACCGACAATTAATATAGACTATTATTTTTATTTACTCTGAAATTGTATACATATTAGGTACCCACTCACTAATTAATAATATTGATTCAAACAGCGGATTTTAATTATTTTAACAGGTCTTATATTACGCTAAAACTTGGGATTATAACAAGCCAGTAAATATATTACGTAGAAGCCACTTACCATCTTTTACATGTATTTACCGTTTTGTTAGTCAACAGTATAAGTGTAAATATATACCTATTATTACAAGTGTTTTTAGACTACAGTATGTATTTTTGTTTTTCCACATTTCACATTTATAAACATTTTTACTATAATAACTGTGCTGTGTCCCAATGAGATATTCTTAATATATTTATAGTATTCTGCACTAGTTGACTATGCCTTTTGTGCAAACTGGCTGATATAGCCCACTCACATAAAATAAAATTTGTCCTAATAATAAAAGCGTTGCAATACATGTTTTTAAAGTTTTCAGATTTGCAAGGATTTTTATTGGAACTTGTAGTCTTAATATAAATTTAGCTAAAGAGTATGGATGGACACTTTTCTTAATAAATGAAAATAGTTGTATCGACGACCCGATATAGGCTAGACAGAACCCCCCCCCCCCCCCAGAAAAAAACTCTTTTGCTTAGCAATCAAACTAAAGTGAAAAACTATTACTTTTTTAAAATATTACTAGGATTTGTTTGAAGTATTTCAAACTGGGTGATTAATAATTCTTACTCAATTAGTTCCTGATCCCCTTTACACCTGCATAGTTTATGCACCACACCCAAAACTCCAGGGCTATAAAGTAAATCAGCGCCCACCTTAGTCCCATAATTACTTTAATGCGGTCTAATTTTACCCACAAACTATCTAATTGTGACCTTGTGCTGATACGGGGGCCATAAATAGACAGGTAGCCGATATAGATGATGAAATATCAACCATATCAGTGGGATCTTTAATGGGAGTGATATTAGTCTTAACGTGACTTTCTCATAATAGATTGCAGTAAGCGATTCTGTGTGGGCTGCAAGTAAAACGGTTGAGCGTTGAGTGACAAGTTTAGCATAGAAATTTGGAAAGGTACTTTGAATACAAGAAATAGCTGAGCAATTTTAATTTGTTGACAATTTTAATTTGTTGACAAGTTACACTTAACCTAGATTATAGCGTTACAAACTGAAAGGGGATTTTTTAAACAAGACTCTTATTGCAAAAATAATGTTTGTTTCACCAAAGCGCGAAAAAGTTGAAGCTAGAAAATACAGTAACCGACCTTTAACTCGTCAAGGACAGGAAAGGTGATAAGGATTTCAACAGGGGTGATAACAGTGATAAGAGATACGCATGAGAAATTAAATGGCGCTTATCATTGAAGAGCTTCATGCGAATGTCAACATCCAAAGTTCCGACGGTTTCAAATCCAAGGTTCCGACTTTTTCTTGATTACTACTTTACCGCCTTTTTGCGCCCATGTGTTGTACAGTCCACACTTTACGCGGGAATGTTGATTGATGACCGAGCATCTCCCAAGGTTGCTATTAGCGGGGAATTCGCCCTCGTTTCTGTTTTATAGGTAAACTCGGCGGTGACGTAAGCTGCGTATTAACATGCACGAAACGCGCAAGATGAGTAAGCGCTAGAGCTCCCTCGTAGTGGTACGCGTAGTTTTCGTAATCCGAATACTCTACTAGTCTACTTACGGCAATCCAGTTTTTTTACATTACGAATATGAACAAAGTACAACTAAAATTTGGGGCTGTCTTCATGACCACCAAAGTCGATGGTTGTTTTTGGATATCGATACTATAGGGATTTTAAATGGTATCGATGTTATGACAAGTTGCGTTCTTTTCACCCCTCAAAAACGAGAACAAATTGTCAAGATGTTTTTAAAGTGATTGCAAAGTTTTTCTCTATATAAACGACCGATTCGCATATACATAGTCGTAACCGGGTGAAAGGTTTTGAGATTCCTTTATTTTTAACTAAGCAGTAGTGTAGGCTACTAATTACAATCAATACGAACTAAATTGCAACTTAAAATAAGTTTACACATACATAATTCAACCATTCTTGCGTAATTCCAGAATTATATTACATGTTAAAGGCTATTTTACATGTATTCAGTACACATTGCTAACTCGTCTCCGGATTTTCAACCTCACCCATCTGTGATAGCCATTGTTATGCGGATGGGTTAACCTTAAGTATTAGGGTTTCATATTTTTTGTGATTCTAAGCAAACGACAACACATTACTTTGCTAAAAACCTTGCTAAAAATTCAACTTTAGATTCATAGCCAAATCTAAAAAAAAAAAAAAAAAAAAACATCAAGTTACGGTATGAATGTTAGGAGGGATAATCGTTCGGAATAAGATAAGATGGGAATAAATGATACGGTGCTCTGGCATTAACAGTTGCATTCGGTGCCGTAGGAATCGGTCCTCTATGCCATCTTATCAGAAAACAATGGCAGAGAGAGCAATGGCCGCCTCCTTGCATGTCGAGTCTCTGTTATCAGTGAGGTTGTTATCAAGTTGAAGGTCGTACAGAGTCTACCTCGCATCCACAACATGAAAATCACAAACAGATATCCACAACGTTATTGACCAATCGCGGTCTAAATGACTTTCTACGATTTCTTTGTCAGATTACTTACCGAAATATTCTAAATTTGTTAGTATTGTGACCCACAATGCATACGTAGGTGGATAGATTGTCTTATGTAATGGTAATTATTTACAGCTCACTTGTTTAAAATTTACAAAAACAACAGGAACCAGGATGTTTGGGATAGATACTATGTATGGTCGCCATTTCATTGAACAGTATCAACAGTATTTTATCATTTTTAAGACGTTACATCGTGTAATCAAGTTCCTACTGATACGATGGCTAAAATAAAGCAACTCCAATACCTTCCATGCGTACCTACTAAATAGACATTTCTCGAATGTACTTCTCGAATGTGATTCCTCGAGGGATATAGCCTACCACAGTACCGTGACATATCGAGAGGAATGCATCAGAGTCGAGAGTAACTCCTGCAATAAATGTATTGTTATAAGTGTATAAATAAATAAGTGTATTTTTGACTACACCAAGTACGGCAATGTTAGGTAGTCTATAGACTTGACCGTGGAGAGAATCCACTACAGAAACGTCACGTTATTAGATAATAGAGACAACTTTGCTTTACCCCACTTCCTGTCTGTATTGCTTTTAACCACCAAGTAACATCAACTGGAGTGTAGAATGACTACACCAAGTACGGCAATGTTACGGTAGTCTAATAGACTTGACCGTGGAGAGAATCCACTACAGAAACGTCACGTTATTAGATAATAGAGACTGCTTTGCTTTACCACACTTCCTGTCTGTATTGCTTTTAACCACCAAGTAACATCAACTGGAGTGTAGAATGACTACACCAAGTACGGCAATGTTAGGTAGTCCATAGACTTGACCGTGGAGAGAATCTACTACAGAAACGTCACGTTATTAGATAATAGAGACTACTTTGCTTTACCCCACTTCCTGTCTGTATTGCTTTTAACCACCAAGTAACATCAACTGGAGTGTAGAATGACTACACCAAGTACGGCAATGTTAGGTAGTCTATAGACTTGCCCGTGGAGAGAATCCACTACAGAAACGTCACGTTATTAGATAATAGACACTGCTTTGCTTTACCCCACTTCCTGTCTGTATTGCTTTTAACCACCAAGTAACACCAACTGGATTGTAGAATGACTACACCAAGTACGGCAATGTTACGGTAGTCTAATAGACTTGCCCGTGGAGAGAATCCACTACAGAAACGTCACGTTATTAGATAATAGACACTGCTTTGCTTTACCCCACTTCCTGTCTGTATTGCTTTTAACCACCAAGTAACACCAACTGGATTGTAGAATGACTACACCAAGTACGGCAATACGGTAGTCTAATAGACCTGCCCGTGGAGAGATTCCACTACAGAAACGTCACGTTATTAGATAATAGACACTGCTTTGCTTTACCCCACTTCCTGTCTGTATTGCTTTTAACCACCAAGTAACACCAACTGGATTGTAGAATGACTACACCAAGTACGGCAATGTTACGGTAGTCTAATAGACTTGCCCGTGGAGAGAATCCACTACAGAAACGTCACGTTATTAGATAATAGAGACTGCTTTGCTTTACCCCACTTCCTGTCTGTATTGCTTTTAACCACCAAGTAACATCAACTGGAGTGTAGAATGACTACACCAAGTACGGCAATGTTACGGTAGTCCAATAGACTTGCCCGTGGAGAGAATCCACTACAGAAACGTCACGTTATTAGATAATAGAGACTGCTTTGCTTTACCCCACTTCCTGTCTGTATTGCTTTTAACCACCAAGTAACATCAACTGGAGTGTAGAATGACTA